ACTTGTGACAGCTCTGTGAGTGATCTTAGGGACCTCATGAGGATTTGTCGTATTACTCAGAGAGAGTACTATGGGTGCTGGGGTGCGACCCAGGAGGAAGAAAGAAGAGAAGGGAGGGAAAAAATCACAGCAGAAAGGTGAGCCACTGGAGAATGACTGATACTGTGAATGGATAAGTCATAACTGACACCCAGCTTAGTAATGCTTAGTGTTAGCTTAGGGCCTGCTCATCGAAAGCAGTTTCAGCTCATGGTCTGGTGGGTTACTTCTCCAGTGTCTGCTGTTACAGTTCCTGTGTCCCTAAAGAGGCAGCACCCATCACCTTCTCGCCGGCTTGCTCATTTGCACTGCGTTGGCTGAGATTGTCAGGTAAGGTAGTGCTCGGTGCTTTTGCGTTTTGGGCATGTGGCTCTTACAGAATTATTTTGAAATGCATGTAGTAACTTTTTTAGAATTATAGTTGTCTGTACTCCTTGCAAGTCCCTGTGGAGAAACCTTGTTCCTTCTAGAAGTTAGTGAGACACTGAGTAGGCAGTGGCAACCAGCATTACAGATCAGATTTCAGCCCCCATGTCCCAGGGTGGCAGAATTTAGCCTAAATGATGTAAAGACTTTAAGATTATGATGACTGACAATTAAGTACTCTTTCTTAAAGACTTTTAGGGGGAAAAAAAATTAAAAAGATTACGAAGAAATTTCTTGCTCTCCTTTTGTTTCTTGCTGTCATAATAGCTCTCTGTAGGCTTGCGTAGGCTTTGTACTAGTGCACAGAAAAAGACAACAGGATCTTGGATAAAGAAGCTGCTGAAATTTTCCTGGAAAAAGGATTCAGGGGTCATTGTTTACTATAGTCTAGCAGAATTTCTATAAAAACTTACCAGCTTGGGCAAGAAACTGTTCCTCCACTCTGCTGCTGCTGGAAAAAATGAACTTTTTTTAGGGACCTTGTTGATCTATGTTGTGTTTCGAGGCACTTTTGTTCTGTCACTCACTGTGGTTTCAAGTAACATACTAGGATTATTAAAACTGATGGATTTTTTTTTTTCTGAAGAAAAAGTTTTTCTTATTCCTCCCTTCTCCCAATACTTAGAAGTTTACATGTGATTGGTGTTTTTAATCATTGTAACTGCTTTACTTACACAGAAATGTACAGAATTGAGTCTTAAGATATTTTTTTGTCAGTGCTTACCTGAGGGTAGTTACATATGTTTAAGGTGCTCACAGAACCAAGATCTTTGTTTTCACTTTACCTTTAAATGCGGGAGAGATTTTATTCTTTTTCTACAGAACCGCAGAGGAAGGTTCAGGTCTCTGTCCTCCTTTGCGCTTAGGAGTCTGAGTGGCTCACACGTTCCTGAGGAATTCAGTGTATGCTCAGAGGGAGATTTCAGTTGTTCTATACTGCCTGTAAAACAGCAACCAAAAAAACCCCACCCAGTTCAGGGAGTCTGCACTAATCTGTTCAGTGAGCTTGGCTATTAGGATGTTACAGCCCTTGTCCTGAAATGGTGGGAAGGTTTCAGGAAAGCTGGTTAGTTCCTGTGGATTAATTCTTGGGGACAGAAATGCCTCCCAGTGAGTTTAGTGGGTTTTGCTCAGCTATATCGTACCGGTGTATTTGGGCAGGATCCTCACTGGCTGTGCTTCTGCTTACTATTTATGTATGAAGTTATGCACTCATAATGAGAAAATGCCTGGAGGAAGCTGTGCTCGCAGCGGCTCTTGGTTGCTTGCTCTTAATGGAATAGGCATGATGACAACAGCTCCCTGTATCCAGGGGTGAATAGGCTGGGAATACCTCATCTGGTCGACTTCAGAGATACCTGAATTTTCCCTGAATAGACATGAACAGCATACACTGGCTGGGAATCTGGAAGAAATTAAAGCTTGGAGAAACCCAGGCAGAGCAAAAGATCAAGGAAGACTGAGAAGGAATCTAGAAGAAACAGAGACTGAGGGAGATACAGACTGCAAATACACATGGGCAGTGGTAGCAGTCCTCTTTGCCATTGCAGCATGAAGCAGTGATTTGAAAAGCGCATAATGCCATTGCTAACAAAGAGGAAGAGATCTTGCTTTAGAAATAGAAGTGAGAAAGATTCCTCCCACAGCAGGCACACGAAGTTTTCATCTTCCCACTCACACCACTGCTCCAACAGCATGCAGCCTTGTTTGCGTGCTGGTAGTTTGCATCCTGGGTTGGGTGACTTGGGAGACTGGCAGTTGTGGTAGAGGAAAGTGCAACTGCTGAACCTCTGCTGATGGCAGCACGCACCATGGGATGGGTCTGGAAGCAATCCTTTCCCTCCCAGCTGGAGCCTCATGCTTTCCCTGTCTTGAGGGTGGGAAAGGTTAGTGAAGAGATTATTTAAAATAATAAAAACATTTAAAAATTGTCAGTCTTTGCTTATTGGATGAGTAGCTTAAACATACTCATTCAAGACAGCTGTAACCTAAGCAGCCAAAGTCCACTTGAGCTGGGGCTGAATTTGGCCTATTGCCTCTCCTTCACACCCACAGTACAAATAAAAGCTGCAGCTTCTTGGGGCTCGGTGGGAGGGAGGAGGCGGGAAAGCCATTGGAGTGTGATTTTGTGCTGACAGTTGATGTGCATTCCTTGAAAACCTGAGCTTCTCATCACTCACTTCTCATCACTTCTGGATGTAGCAGTATGACAAGTCACTGGGAGGCAGCATGCAGTTTGTTAGAAGTGGGACGTTATAACGAGGATAGGACCTTATGGGAGACTTAGGGAGCAGTGCTGACTTCTGATGAAGGGATGGGGAAAAAGCAGTGAAACCAAACCCTGAAAACTGGGTTGGAATATTAAAAAACTAAATCTTTGGCAGGAGTTACATTCAAGGGGGTCATTTTAATTCAGAATGATGTTTACGTTCAACTGTTCTTTAAATATCTTAAGACTGTGTGTCTCTGGAGTAGAAACAGCAGAGTAGACAGAAGGGCTTCTGCTATCGGTTAAATCTGGCAAATAGGGTATACAAAAGTAATTTATCTTTGCTACTTGAGTAACAATATTTACATTGCACTTTCCTCCAGAAGGAGGCTGTGGACATTTAGAAGTGGTGTACGAGAGTCTCTCTCATCCTCTCTAAACAGCAGCTAGCCCTGTGATAGAGCCAAGTTGCTGTTCAGCACTGCACTGTTGCAGTTTGGAATGACTGAAGGCAGTAATACAGACTATGAAATCCAAATAATATAGGAAAAGGTTATTTAAACCTGCAAAAGGTGTTTAGGAAACTGGAATTTAGCTAGAGCTAGTAACATCTGTGGAGTTGCAGTAAGTCCATCTGGGTCTTCATGATTCTCAGACATTCAGGATTTTATTTGGATGCTTCCTATCGCTGGCACACTGTCTTCAAAAGTATTACTGCTGCATAGGGCACTTCTGTCAGACTGAAAATGACTTCATTTCACCTTTGACTGTGTTCAAAACCAGAATAAGTTAAAAGGGAAAAAGCAATCTTATTTCAGAATGTGTGCTCATGTGGCGATTATATTGTTACGTCTGTTTAATTTGCAGCATAACTTAAAACTTTCTTGTGAAGACAGCTCCTTAAAAGAAAGATCACTTCTGTCTGTGATTCACATATCCTCTTGATACGCTCTAAGATAGCCACAAGGTTTTGCCCTCTCATGGTGACGAGCATTACTGGAAGATACCTTATAAGAAACATGGTATAAGTGAACAAGTTTGGGGAAGGATGGCCAGGTCAGAGTGTGATCTGGAGAGCTACATTTTGCCTGGGTACCATTGCTTGCAATTTAACTTTTTGTGTTTTTCACTTCTGTGGAAGTATAGCTCGAAACACAATAAAAATCAGGTATTCTGAGCATCTGAATCATCAGATCAATATCCCTGCTGTTTTGAAGGTGGATTTTTCAGGTGTTGAGCAGTGACCTAAACTCATTTTCAGTTAAATGGGTGCCTCCCATTGGTATTGGTGAATCCCAGCTAGGCCATTGATAAGCACTTCTGTAAATGCAGCCTAATCCCCAGCTATGCTTGGTCTCAGCAAAAAAACCTTCAGCACTAAACTGTCACACACAAGTATTATGCATCTCCATTCTTGTCTCCAACAGGGTGTCATGTTCTAGTGACAGAAGAAATGAGCGTGCTGTCCTTGTTTGTAAAGCACTTTAGGATCCCTCAGAGTGTAATGTGAACGCCCGTGGGCTGTGTTTCTCTCCCACCCGGGTTTCAGTTCCAGAGCATGAGACTTTTTCACTTTCTACTTTTCTTCTCCTTTCCGCCTTTGTGACAGAGCCCTCAGCTGCTGGTTGTGAGCAGCTGTTCTGATTCCCTGTCTGCCTGCAGCGGTATCCAGACAGCTGCACTGAGCGGCAGCCAAAGGTGGACAGAGCAATGCCTAGTTTTGTTAAAAAGTAACAGGATTGGGATTGGGGGAGGGAGCAGGGAAATCGGTGACCTGGAGTAGATTCTACAGCACACCCTCAGTGGGTGCTGAGGGTCCTGGGTGACCTCCGTGTCCTATTGGAGATGCATTTTCTGTGTGTCTGTCACAGTAAGACTCACCTGCTGACTCGGAGGAAGCCGTTAATCACGAGGTGATACTCAAGTTCTCTGGGAAAGGAAGTATTGCTGACAGTGGCAAACAGCTTATGTTCGTGTCTCATGGAAACTTAAATATGCATCAGTGTGTGTTCAGCATCTGCTCTCTGCGTACTGCATGACTCAGACACAGAGGGTCAAGTGTGGATAAGAACAGGCCTGTGGCGTGCAGTATGACATTTAAAAAAAAATTCTTGTGCATGGTAGGACATTATCTTTAAGTATTTGTCCATTCTTGCTTTGTGTGCATATTTTTTCAACAGTCATCATAGTGTCTCTTTCGTAGTTGCACCTTTGAGCACTTAGAAATTAGAAACAATTCAATATCCATAAAGCTATGTGCTAGGTTTGTGGTATGTTAGGATTTTGGCTTTTGCCTAACTTAATATTTCTTTTCTTTGTATTCCAGAAAAAGTCATGGCATACAATTAAAACCATGGTTAACTTACCAGTCATCAGCCCCTTCAAGAAACGCTACTCATGGGTGCAGCTGGCTGGACATACAGGTGAGGCAAATATCTTCAATACATATCTCTCTGGAGTGGCAAGGAAGACAGTGTTTCAGCATTTCTCTACTTCCTTCCTTCAGGTAGAAAGGAAGCAGGCAATATCATGTCCATCTGTGAACTAGAACATCTTTCCTTCAGTTGTGGTGGGATAGGGAGGGAGGAGCACTGTACCTGACCCATGAGAGGAGCAAGAAAGCAGTGGTCAGACTCTGGGGAAGGGCCAGGTTCCTGATGCATCCTTGTAAGGTGTTATATGTAAAATATGTGTTAGAGGAAAACAGGGGGGCCTGGGGAGTCGAAGCCCTTGTCCATCTGTTGCTGTTGGTTGTGGTGTGTTACCATCTTTCTTGATTTGAGTAGCTAATGTTTTCGATCCCTAAGGAAGGATTACTGTCCTTGCCCATATGTGCCTCAGCCCTGGAAAGGACGGTGTTTCTAATGCCAACCCAAAACTCCTCATCTGAATGTAAGCCCTTTGGGTGAAAAACAAATCTGGTGAGAACTGACTTGCTAACCAGATGTTTGCATTGTGAGATTGTCATTGTTCACTGTATGAGTGCAAGGAGCCGCTCAGTCAGCTAGTTCTAGTTTTGTGTCTGTAGAAGTTGGTAAGTGTGCTTCTGATGTAGGCTTTGTTTCATTGGTAAGACAAAACCCCAGCAAAGCAAAGTCATCAGGTTTGCCTCTCTTGTGTTTCATTTAAAGCAGCCCTTGTTCCCAAAGTGTTAGTGCAGGGTTTATTGGTACACATGTGGGCAGGCACCTACACTGCATCGTGCTTTAATGCAGTACCTGAACCACCTCTGTATATGCTAATACACTAATATGATGCACTTCAAAGCTGTGCAGAGAGATGTATTTAGTCCTAGAAATGGAGTACCTGCATTTTACACTGTAGTGTTGGTGTGGCTGGCTTCTATCACACCGCATGCCAAGATGGTCCAGTCTTATTGCAGTTTTTATCACAGTGTGTGGGGTTGGCTTGACCTATATGGAGTGATGTACTGGTTTTGTAATCATAACCCTTCTGGAGGCTTGTGTAGTAGGGTGGAAGAGGGGAGTTAAGAGGTTACTAGAAGCTGATTAGGACAGATACTGCTGCACTTTGTTTTGGATAGTTTTTTGTGGTTGCATTTTGTCCATCCTTTTTGCAGCTATTCGATGATATGACAAGTTATTTCTAAACTAAAACCTGGGCCATCACCACCCTCGCCCTTGTGCTGAGGAGATTCTGGTTCTAGGATTTCTGAGAGAAAATACAGTTTGCAATGGCTGAAGGATCCTGCTGTGATAGAAGTTCAGTGTTGGCCCCAGCATTAATGAGGCTTCTTCTTTGGTGCCTATTTTATGTCATGTAGACTGAGGGATACCTCTGAATGAAACCTGTACTTCCCTCAGACGTTATTGGCAGGCTGTGGGACAGGAGAGTGACTTCTGCAGCTGGAGTCTATTCACTGCCAGTCTTGGCCTATGCAGACTGTCATTTGTACTGGATACCATTCAGACACAGGGTTGTAATAAACCAATTGCACTACAAGCTGTACCTGCAGGGCTCTGAAGAAGAGCAGTACCTGGAGGTATACACATGCCCAGTCACAGTGTGCATGCATAGAAAGGGCAGTGCTTGGCTTCTGGCCTGTTCGTGGCTGCTTTAGCGATCATCAGTCGACTGTACTGCCCCAGTATGTACACGCTCAGCAGGTATAGCCCACATGAGGATTAAGGACAAAGCCAACGCTGGCAGTGTTATACAGCTTTAAAATAGCCTGTCAGAGGCTTAATGAATTCTGGCTTGTGGCCTCTTCTTGTGCATTTTAATAAGTATAGTAGTGTTTAATATCATAACAAGGAGTTTAGTATGGGAAAAAAAAAGATGGCCTAGAGCAGCTACACTTCTTAAAGCTATAAATCCTGGCATGGGAATGTATCCAAATGGACTTTCACTGCTAACGACTGTGTTTATCTTGAGTGTTTTATTTTTTATAAAAAGCATGTTATTCTGTTCAGGGGAAATCTTTAACTGAGGCTGAGGTAGATGAGGCTGGAGTGATGGGGGGAAGGTGTTTTTCTTTTTTTGCATTTTTTGCCTTCTTGTCAGCCTGTGTTTGATTTTCTTTTTTAGGGAGTTTCAAGGCAGCTGATAGTGGGAAGATTTTGAAACGCTTCTCAGAGAACGAAAAGGAGTGTTTTGAGCGATTGATGAAAGACCCGCTACGCTCCTGTGTCCCTTGCTTCCATGGTGTGGTGGAGAGAGATGGCGAGAGCTACATTCAGCTGGATGACTTGCTTACTGATTTTGAAGGGCCTTCTGTGATGGACTGCAAGATGGGGATCAGGTGGGGTACATGAAAGAGAAAGTCCTTTCTAAACCAAATGCGTTTGAAGGAAGTGGGAGAAAGGGGGGGATGTGATCGTGCTCTGTCTGGAGGGGTTTGGTAACATTTTTGGGGACTTGAGATTCAGTCTCGACAGCCTGTTGTTGGTTTGGCAGTCGCCTTGGACAACCTGAGGAGAGTATGCCCTATTGTTACCTGATTGTACGTGGATTCTGGAAACTGGCTGATTTATAGCCTCAAAAACTATCCACAGCAAGATATTTTCAGGGGTGATTTAAGACAAAGTTTCTCTGCAGTGGCCTGATAATACATGAGGGTAAAATGACATGATTTGTTCCCTACCAGTTCATTTAATCTTTGTGTATGAAGCGATTCAAAAAAACCCACAAAGAGTAAAAATTCCCATCTCCAAATGTGAATGACTGAGTAGCAGTGTGAAAGCCCATTTCCAACGCTTGAATGAGTCTTCACTGTGATTGCTCTTTGCTGCAAATAAGAGCTGACTCTCTGCTCGGGACTGACTTGTGTTTTTCCCTACTCTGACATCTCCATGATGCTATCACCTTGTTCTCCAGATTCCCACTTTTCTTTTCCTTTTCTTGTCTGTGATTAAGAGAAAAGCCTCGAAAATGTTATCTAAGCATAACAGATAGATAAGGAATCTGTTGAGAGCCTGGCGTAACAGTACAGAGAAGTATGAACTGTCATAGTAATCTTTTGGGCACCTGCTCAGATGCTCAAAAGTCATTGTCATAAATGAGTTATTCCAGGAGTGCAGATAAGCCTTTTCAAATAGATGCAGAATCTTAAATGACTTGTCAGCTAAATCAGAGTAGAAATGTGTAGCACTGGTATGCCCAGAAGAAAGAGGAGAAGAATTTGCAGCAATACATATTTTATTCAAAGTAGATGACGTTCTGGTAATGAGTGACAGCATCTCCTAAACACCATCCTGGTTTATTACACTGGAATGAGGAAAGTAGACTCCAGGCACCTGACAAAGTGCAAGCTTTGTGGAGAGAGACAAACCCTGGGAGTCCAGTGGAATATAGAGAACATGGGTAGTGCCTTTCTAATGGTTACTAGATAAACACGTTGAGTGATAACGGCAAAATGTGGGAAGTTTGTCACCCTTCACCTTCCTGTTCTTAGTTACCTCTTCTGGTTTGGAACTGCTCAGATAATCTGTTCTACTCTTCAATTTTTGCTCTATGAAGAGTGATTCTGTCTTTCACTGATGTATTAAGTAAAACCTTAATTGCTTTGTGAGGCCTAAAACAAAAAATCACACATGACTGATGCTAGGGGTTTTTTTGAGGAAAGAGAAGACAGTAAAACTTCAGCAGCCCTGTTTGCTTTTGATTTCATTGTAAGTGATCTCTCCTAATTGTACCTCTGAAAATACAGTTCTGTTTCATGGCACGGTAGGAATTCGGCGTTCTCCTGTTCTGTAAGCAGAATATAACAGTAACATGTAACACAAAGTAAAGACATAGTTAGAAAAAGAAGTGAATGACACAGTTTTTGATTGCTGTGACTGTTTTCGCTAAAAACATCTGTGCAGTCATTAGTCTGTGTTCTTTAGTTTCCTCATATGCAAACCCAGGGTTATGATAATGCTTACTTTCCTGGTTGACATTTCTTGAGGCCAGTTTATAAGTTGTAAAAATAAATGGGGAGTCCTTACAGTTTTGTTGAGATGTGATGTTTTTGCAGGACGTACTTGGAAGAAGAGTTGGCTAAGGCCCGTGAGAAACCAAAGCTGCGTAAGGACATGTACAAGAAAATGATTGAAGTGGATCCCCTTGCTCCCACAGCTGAAGAGAATGCCCAGCATGCTGTCACCAAACCCCGATACATGCAGTGGAGGGAAACCATCAGCTCTAGTGCCAACCTGGGCTTCAGGATTGAAGGGATTAAGGTAACAGTCTCACTTCTACCTGTTCTTGGAGACCAAACTTTGATTTGTTGATTAATCAAAAAGCTAGTGCACATCAGTAGCCAAGTTTTCTAAAGGATTATCTGAAAATACACTAATTAAAACAACAGAATTCAGTGTATTGTGGTTTTAAAGCATCCATTGTAATTACAACAGAGTAGCGTCGATGAAGTTAAGCATCAAATGCACATCAACCATACTTGGTTCAACCACAGAGGCATTGCAGGAAGGACTCAAGCAGGTACACAGTGTAGATAGAATGAAAATGAGACTTCTATAAGGAAAAATTTGGAACTGAAGAAATAACCGCCTCTCCCCATGCAATTACTCTTTTTATCTAGGAACTATACATATGTTTTCCAAGTGATAACAGAAAAGTGGTTTTGTTCCAGTTATGTTTATCTGCAAGTCATGTTAAAAGCATTAGCTTAGATATTTTTGGGATCGAGGAAACCCCTTTTCCTTTTAAGTACGTGACAATATCTGGTATAGATGGAGCTGGAATAAAGCTAGAACAACCAAAAATAAAATTTCTCCATCATCAAAGTCCATCTGCTGTTCTGGATGGATAAGTTTGTGCACCTGTACCATTCCTAGGATACTACCTTACAGCCACGGAACAACCTTGGCAATTTTCTTTCCTACCTATTAATTCTTTACATTAAAAGGTAGGTCAGATACCTACCTAGAGACCCATTAGGATCTACTATCAGAATATCAGCCGCTTGACTCAGTTACTTGAATGCTGACACTTGCTGGAATCCAGATGTGTGCTTTCTTGCATAGGCCTGTCACAGCCAGCCTGAAACGAGTTTGCTTGGGTTTAGATAGTGGTGTACCTGCAGCAGCACAGAGCATGGTGAGGGCTGTCCAAACCCACCCATGCCCTGGATGGGTACTTGTTACCTGAAGCTTATGACAGGACAGCTGTGAAGAAGTTAGCATGGGTTACCCTGTGTGATTTCAGGATGTTCCCAGAGCATATATGTTTAATTTAGGTATGTTACCACATTGTACACTATAATCTGGATTCGTTTTGCTTCTGTTTCATAGTTCAAGCACATAGGATGAAGAAAGGGTTAAAAGAGGGTGATGCTGACAAGCAGAGTCTCTTTAACCACCCCTTTGTCTTTGCTTCCCTGTGTTGCCTTCTCCCTTCCTTACTCACAGAATCTCCTGCTGTGATACAGGAACTGGGGCTTCCAGCTCATGCTGTGCTGGCCCCTGTACGCTGTGCCACCCACTCTTGGCTGTTAGGCACAGGCATCCTCATGCAGGAACTGTTTGGGTGGTAGATGATCTGTCTCCAGTCCAGCCAAGACAATTCCTGTCTTACCCTTTAGCCATCTAATGATGTTATCAATATACCTGTTTTATTCCTAAACCACTTAGGTCTTCAGATGCTCTGTGTAATGGAAGCAGAAACCCAAATGATCTCAAGACCTTTCACGTATGTTCTTGGAAAGATAGTTGGTCACTGTAGAACTTACAGATTTATGTTGAGTCCTGGAGAGCGACTGAGCCAAAGGAGCACAGGGGAGCTCCAGTAAAATCTCACGTATGGTCTTGGAAAGATAGTTGGTCACTGTAGAAGACTTACAGATTTATGTTGAGTCCTGGAGAGCGACTGAGCCAAAGGAGCACAGGGGAGCTCCAGTAAAATCTCCTGTCTTTTCTTTGTGGTCTGGCTGGTGTGATTAGAGGTGTGTAGGAACAGTACAGCACACAGATTGCACGATATTTCCCTCCGTTGAGATAATGCTGTAACTGTGCAAAATGGGACACAAGTACTTGAAATGCTTTGGAGCAGTCCACTATGTTACCTTTGCCTCTGTCTCCCTGTGCTGTTATGAGGGATGTAGGTATCATTCTTATTTTTTTACATGGAGAAATGGTGACAGAAATGAGTTGTTCAAGCAATACAGCTAGTCAGTACTCCTCACAGTGTTTCACTGTACCTGAACTGTACATCAAGTTGTTTATATTTGCAGAGGAGTGAAGCCATACTGCAGAGATCCCCATTTTGAGAGGAGAACCTATAAGGATCAGTGGTGCCAGCTAGTGGTTAATGGAAAAAAGGGGTTATTCTCCCGGAGTATACTGGTAACTCCTGGAGGTAGCTGAGCAATGTTGGCATTGGCCATTCAGAAATATTCCTACCCTGTGGCTGCTGGAGTAATAAGTGGAAGCAAAGAAACTGAAATTATAGAACCCCTTCTGTGAAGTCACTGCCAGAAATGAGATCTGATTCACATGTGCATTTCTCCTTTATCAGTGGGGTGCCTTTTCTCTTTAGGTTGATCCATGTCTTGTCCTTGCCTTGCTTCCATATCTCTGAATTCAAGACAGGTTCATTTATGGCATTTGTCACTCCTCCTCTTACCAAAATAGTTCGAACCACTGAGTTTCCTTACAGCTGGCACCTGACACTTAGTCTCTTGTGTTTGCCAGATCCAGAATGCAGGTTTCCTCTCTGGAAGGGGCTGTCTGAAGGCTAGGTATCACAAACATTGTCTCTACAACACTAAGATAATAGTTTTGCAGAGCAGAGATGTATGGGGCTGAGAATCAGAAGTTCTGACTTCCCATTCTGTCACTGAATCTCTGTACAGTTTGGGAAGTTACTTCTTCCTTTGATATAATTTCTGTAGCTGTGGATCAGGGATAGCCATTTTCCCAGGAGTAATCCATTTGGGTCACAACCTTAACCCAGTGCGCTTTAAAGGAAGTCTGCAGAGGAATCTGAGCAAGACCACACAGGTTAAGATAGGTAGCACTGTTTTATGGAGCTGCCAAACCTGTCCTCTTGCTAGCCATGCCACTGTCACGTCTAATGAGAAGTGCTGCAAGTGGCCCACTAGCTGCACTGTGCAGTGGACTGTGCAGGAATGTACGTGGAAGCCCTGACAAAGATGTGACTTCAAGGAGCAAGTCAGGCAAGCGCTTCCTGGGGATCAGGTATATCCAGAGTTGTTGCAAAGGCCTGGTATAGAATACAAGGGATGGAGTCCAGCGTAGGGCTACAAAGATGATTAAGGTAGTGGAGCATCTCCCTTATGTGGAAAGGCTGAGGGAGCTGGGGCTCTTTAGTTTGCAGAAGAGGAGACTGAGGGGAGACCTCATTCATGTTTATAAATATTTAAAGGGTGAGTGTCACGAGGATGGAGCCAGGCTCTTCTCGGTGACAAACAATGATAAGACAAGGGGTAACGGACGCAAACTGGAACACAGGAGGTTCCACTGAAATTGGAGAAGAAACTTCTTCTCAGTGAGGGTGACAGAGCACTGGACCAGGCTGCCCAGAGAGGTTGTGGAGTCTCCTTCTCTGCAGACATTCAAAACCCGCCTGGATGCCTTCCTGTGTAACCTCATCTGGGTGTTCCTGCTCCGGCAGGGGGATTGGACTGGATGAGCTTTTGAGGTCCCTTCCAATCCCTAATGTTCTGTGATTCTGTGTGAAAATCTGGCTGTTTACATTTCCTGCCAACCACTGCGAAGGAACAAAACCATAAAAGCAAGCATCTAGTCTGTCCAGACAATCTGGCTGTTGTTTACATTTCCTGCCAACCACTGTGAAGGAACAAAGCCATAAAAGCAAGCATCTAGTCTGTCCAGACAAAATAGGATGAAAAGGGAAAACATAGAGGCTATTACAGACTTCGCTCTTGAATCTGGGGCACGAGGAGAGATTATTTTTAAAACAGTCTTACTCCAGTGAAGATTACTGGAAGTACTACATCAGACTAAGTTCCAAATTTCTATTTGCTGCTGAGTATTATCATACATCAGATCAGATGGCTCCTAACTTGCACTGCCTACCTGCTGATATAACTTACACATCTAATCAGGCTGACATGCCACACTTGTATCTGGCCCACAGCCTTGGAATAAAATTCTGTTTATTCTGCTGCTAGAAAGTCTGGTAGGTGGGAGGCTGTTCTGCATGGTTTTGCCATTCAGTCAGTTCATTCTCATGCATGATAAATCTGGGAATTTAGCATTATCGGATTTTTTTCATGTATATACTAGGGGCTGAGTTCTGCTGTTGAGTAAATATTGTTTCACCTGCTGAGACTTGAGCTGAATTTACTGTTTTGGTACAGTGACTTAACATGTTGGAGGGAACACATTTTGATGACATACTGATTTACTCTTATAATGGAAATGAGGGATTTCACTGGACTGATGCAATGAAGAGGAATGCAGTTTGATAATCTTGCAGGCTTTTAGTGGGTACAGGCTACCAACTGCAGTAATTGCTGTACTTTACATGCACGTCCTAAAAGCTCGTATTTGTGTCTCTTGAGGCAACAGGGATGTTCTTGGAGAAATGCATATTCATATAGTCTATGTTGATAGATATCTCCAATTCATGCACTGGTCTTTCTTACTTGTAGCCCCACAAGCACATAAAGGGACTTGTTTTTTCAGTAGCAGGATGCTTCTGTACGGAGTCGTACTGCTAGCACAAAAACACCCTGAATTTCTCCAGGACCTGGTTGGGTACAGGCATGCCCACACTGGTGTCCTCTGCCAAAGTTCACATACCTGCTTTGCCACTGCTAGCATTGCAAATCCCGAGTCATTCTTGGAAACTACCTTTCCTTTCTGTGACTTCTGGGTGACATGAATGTGCAAAGGTTTATTTGGAACTGAGTCTTAACTGCAGTTCTTTGATTTCTCCATTGAAAACTAAAACAAACAAAAAAAACCCAAACCAAACAAAAAAGACTAGTAAAATTTGGTTTGAAAATATCCTCTTACATCCCCAGCCAGGGTTTGACTACACCAAGCAAGATGAGAGGACAGCCAAAGAGGTCACTGTGGTTTGCCCCATTGAACTTTGCACTGCTAGTACTGACATGTGAGAAAATCCTCCTGCAGGCTGGTAATATCATGAGTTGTGGTTTATTTTAACTGCACTCAGCAGGAAATGAAGTACCATTTGAAATTCTCCAATCAGGTTTTGTATCACTTCTCCTCCAATTTTTGCTTGGTTTATCTGCTTTCTTCCTGTTCAACTACTCACTTTCATCTGGTTAGCAAAAGCTGAGCTGCTGATGGTTCAAGAGGATTGACTAATGAGGGAAATGATATGTGTGTAGTATAAATAGTCTGATATGTATGTACTATAAATTGTCTCTGTCTCTATGCATTTTTGTGCAGAAGGCAGATGGAACATGTAACACAAACTTCAAAACTACGAAGACAGAGGAGCAAGTTCTACAGGTTTTTGTGGAATTCATTGAGGGCAACACAACTATTCTGGTGAGTCTCAACTCTTCAGGTTTGCTGATCTTTGACCCAATGAACTTGCTTTGAGGCAGTGCTCCCTCTGGTACAGGAAAGATCAGTTAAACTACTGAGGAAGAAAATAGTTTGGACTTCAGTCTCTCTCAGCAGGCAGAGTGGATGGATGTGGGGACTTGGTGGGCTATGAGAAGTAGTTAGCTGAGACCAGTTCTGGCTGCTCTTGCTATGAATTCACCTCAAGTTCCTCATGCTAGCAAAATGTCAGTCAAGCTAACTTAGGGCTTGCCGTCGGCTTTGACCATGAGTGTTAGAAGCATCAGAGGAATGATGAAGTCTAAGCAAGGATTGTGTTGGCAGGGAAAACTTGTGATTTGGGAATTCAGTCTGGAGAGAATAAAACCAGAGCATGGGGGCAGGAAGTGAGATTGGTGGCTGGCTGTGCTCCTATGTGTGAAATTTGCCTCAAAGAGCAATTCCTGTATGTGACTTCACGGATAGCACAGCAGGCATGTGGTAGATGTTGTAACATGTCTCTTGCCTTTAGAACTTCAAAGGATGCCGTAGTGTGTTGCTGCAGTGTAGAAGCCATTATGAAGGCAGATTAGCGCTCCAGGAGGAGCATGCTTGGTAGCACAGGGCAGCATAAAAAATGTATACTATAGCTTTATGCATTAGGTGTTGAATTTTTTAAACCTCCTCCTCTTCCCCATGGTTGGAGCTCCTTGTCTCTCTAACACAATTTCATTCTCTTTTCACTGTGGAGAACCGAAAGATTTTTAATTGCTTGGAACTTTTTTCTCTTCATTAAAAAGGAAAAAAAAAACCCAAACAAACTAACCAAACCAAAAACAATGGGATGCAGAAAGTGTGCAGCCAGGTGCTATGTCACTGCATTCAAAGCGAGACAGATAACTGTACAGCAGAGGATCTCCAGTCTGTTCATTCACTGTTGAAATGTATTTTCAGACTGACTTTCAAATGATGAACCTGTTGTTTTGAAGGACCTCTGGCCTAAAATTAATGTGATCTCTTCATTATATTGACTCTTGTAAACAGAGTGCCTTCATCCATTCTTTACTTAAATGTTTATGAGTTGTTGTTTTTTTTGTTTTTTCCTCCTCTTCCTCCAGAAAAAATACCTCAAGCGTCTGCAGGAAATTCATATCATTCTTGAATCCTCAGACTTCTTCAAGCGACACGAGGTGAGCAGTGAGTGTAATGCTGTGGAGGTGCATTGCTGCTTCGTTTGGTCATTCAGACATACTTCAGAATAGCCTGCTGTATTAATAGAAAGGTGTTTGTAGCAGACAAAAATTAATACATGTTAACAACACAGATACCTCAAAGACTCCATCACAATGATACAGAAGATTAAACGAGTTGAGGAATAATAGATCCTCCCATCTTTGTAACATTCCAGCACTTATAGCTCTGGGCCACTGCTGGGAATGGTTTATTAGTACCAGTTTCCTGTGGTTTCTCCAATCTTGGTGTGTTCCAGTGGGAATCTTTATGGAGGAATGGTAATGTGGAAGCTTGCTTTTGGTAAAATAGCATTCAGTTGTAGTTTGATAGGCTTCATTAGTTATACTGGATTTATGTTGAAACACAATAAATAATTCTGCTCTATATGTTCTCCTTGTATGCTTTACTATGGAGAAGACATCATTAGCATTGTCAGCTCTGCTTGTTAACAGCTCAAGATTTTAAGATCAGACACTTTATTTTACCATGTTGATTTCCTGTTGTCAGTAGAGGCATTTTTGTTAATCTTACGTCATGGCCTTTCTTTGAAAGTTGTCACTGGCTTTTGCTGAATTGCTCAAATTGACCTGCTGCCAAGTGATCTGAAAAACTGCTTTTCTTCCCTTTTTCTGCTGAGTCCCTTTTCCCATTTACATGCCTGTTTATACATTACTGATTGATATGGTTATGCAAATAAGGCATGTAAATTGTTGATGTCTGAGGGCAGCCCAAAAGTCTGTTGAGTCACAGGTGAGAAGGTCATCGGAGGAGGTCATCTTCTTAGTGGGAAGAATTAAGAAAGCATTAAAGATGTGTTTTTAACCACTTCATCTCAATTTGTTTTCCAGGTCGTTGGAAGTTCACTACTTTTTGTACATGATGGCAGTGGGAATGCCAATGTGTGGCTGATTGATTTTGGAAAGACCACCCTTCTCCCTGATGGGCAGACACTGGATCACAGGATCCCCTGGCAAGAAGGCAACAGGGAGGATGGGTACTTGTTGGGGTTGGACAATTTGATTGGCATCTTGGAAAGCATCACTGAAAGATGAGTTGAGAATGGCACAAAACTTGCAGGGCTGCTCTGTAACTTTCTGCTCTACTGGGATCACTCAGATAGAAGGAAACCTTTAACTCCCTCCAAACTTCTGAGGACATCAGTGCAGAGGGAGCTGCATCCAGAACCCAGCAGTTAGTCATCAAAATGACTTTGCATTGGCCCTCTATGAACCTAAATAACTCCAAATTGGTCTGTATTACACCAGGCTAACTTCAGACTGGTCCTCAGAGAATGATGGTCTCCATACTCAGGAAACACACCAGCATGAGTCAAGAGGTCTGTATGGTAAACCAGAATGATTCTAATTTCTGGCAAACAGATGGGACTCCAGCTTACCTCTTAGGGAACCAGAGCAAGTACGTAGGGAATAACATTTTTTCAGAGAAATACGGAGTTTTGAAACCAGCAAGAGTGTTGGTTTGCTTTTTGGGTTTTTTTTCCCCCCCTAATTCCAAGTCTTCTTGCTCCTTTGTACACTATAGGTTGGACCAACAACTTCTGCTGTGTTACAGTGTGCACAAAGTGGAAATGGGTGATAATCACAAGAAACCTGGAGCAAAGGGAGACAGCAGTTTGTAGTGGCTGGATGTGGGAACTGCTGTTGACCATTCCTCCTCTTCCCTGCCCTAGCCTCGATTCACTTCTATCCAAGAACAGCCTTTGCCTTTTGGGAAGCTGCTCAGGAGATTACAGATATTCTAGGGAGAGAATAGTAGCCTATTGTCTCCAAAAACATTTGACTTCTAGACTGGGTGGGCTGTTGGAAAAGTGCCTACCTTGGCAAGTTTGGTCTCTTGCAGGTGAACTGCAGTTCTGAAAATCAGTAAAGACTCTTGCACACAGACCAGGGAACTAAGGGGTTTTTTCAAGGCTTATTTGCTTTTAAAGATAAAACCCTTATACATGTGCGCACACGCTCACACTAGTAGCCAGCAACCAATGTGATCTCTTAAGATTGTGGTTCGGCTGTCTCCTAATGCATGTGACTTCTTGGCCATGTTCCTGTCCTAAATACAATGCTGCCACTTAAGTTTATAGACTGGCACAGCCATCAGCAAGGTAATGCTTCTGCATTCACAACATTACACTACTGATTCCCGGGCTTTTTTCTTGAAAGGTATCAGCTGTTAACTCAAGGGGAAGGAATATCAGTATATCACATCCCCTCATGTCCATCTGGAATCACAGGGCCATTTGTGGTTCATTCTTCTTTTGCTGTGGTCCAGGCACAGCCACAGAAAATTCACAGTGTTTAGGTTAAAATCAAAAAGACTGGAATGATTTCTTGTAATGGCTTCACGTACCTTCTGTGTTGGTTGCCTCTAGTCACTTGGAACAGTTCTTTCAATACTAGCAGTATAAATACTATCAGTATTCACATGTTCACTTATTCCAGGTTTTAACATTAATAACATGATGATGCAGTTTTCAAAATGAGGACAAGACTTATATTACTATTTGATTGCTAATCTCCTTCCAACATCTAAAGCTGGCAATGCACATTGATCAGAAATTGCCATCTTTTGCTGATGTCCTGTGTGCAGGAGAGATTCTGAGAACTTTAGGATATATGAAGGTGACTCCACGGTCTGGGGAACTGCTATATCAGTAATAATAGTGATCACAAGGGTGGGAAAAAAAAGAAGTGACTGTAGAGTCCAGACAGATGTATCTATAACATTTGTAATTAGAATTGAAGAGCCTAAAATACTTTCTAAAGGAGTTACTTTAGATAACACTACTGTACTAAGAGATCAATCAGATTTAATAACTTCTTCACCTCCTCTGAACAAAACACTCCATTAAAAATTCAAGCTCAGTTGTGACCTAAAAGTTAGATAGCATAGAGTGGGTATTCTGTAGGAAGTAATGACACGTGGGAACATTTCATCCTAAACCAGAAGTTGTTTGAAACTTGTAATTATATTTGCAGTTCACTGCAAATTCAGACTTCTTCTGTGGCCTCCCAGAGTCCCTCTCAGTTTTATTTTCATGATAGTATTCTAATGAATTTTCCACTTAGATGTTTCAGAGGGTTTACGCTTTTTTTTTTTAAAGACACCAAGCCTTCAATAGCACAGATATTATCATTCCAAATGCCTCCTAACTTTTGAACTGCTATGAGATGATGAATTAATCTGTAGTGACTTTCATACAATTTTTGAATAAAAAGTCCTCCTCCCTTCCTGCAGCCAACAGGTAAGCCATTGATTAGTAATGCTTAATGAGAATAGGAAGTAAATAGGTCTCACAGGGAGGACTTTAATAACAATACCTTTTCTAGGAGACTGCAACTGCAAGCAGTCCTATGTTAATAAAAAAATAAGTTAAAAATGAGACTGTTACTGGTTTGCCTAATTAATATTCAGAGTTAAATTTATTTCTTCTGTTAACACAATGTGAATCTTTAGCACCAGTGTAACTTGTTTTATAGAGGGGAAAAGTTGACACTCAAATGTCAGTAGAGAATTTGAGAGAAACTTTCAGAATGTCTGTCGAGTTCTGAAGAACTAGAAGCAATGTGGTACCAGTAGCTTCAAAAAAACCCAAGTGCTGCTAGCACCTGGATGGTTTGTGGTATGTGGTCGTGGGGGAAAACATGGAGAACGACCCATTCCTCTGCAGTAGTTGAAAATGTCAGGGGAAAAAAAGAAAACTTCTGCTAAAGCAGGCCCTGGTGCGGAAACACATTCTAGATGATAAATAGTTCTAGCAAGTTAGTTTTGAAATGGTCCTTTGTCTTGCCTAAGGGATTAGGAGGACAGAAGCCACAATCTTCTGCTGCTGTTAAGGGGAAGGAGAAAAGGAGGCAGCTTTTTCATTACCAAACTGCAAGTGTAGGACTGCAGCTGAGCACTGGTGCTGTAAGGGGCTGGAGGCCACAAGCTCTTGAGCAAATCACCACAGAATAAGTTAAGTACCTTGATTCACATCAGATGGGGGAGAGTGCCTAGTGTGAGGAAGACACACAAGTCGCCTTTTACTATGGGTAAGTTGCCTTGAATAAGCTTATATTTACCAGTGTCAGCATGATGCCTTTGCACAGGCATGTAGCATAGCAGAGCTGATGCATGATAACCAAGGTACTTGTTCACATCCAAGTCCAGAATGTAGTTCTTTAATGTCTCTGCTGACAGATTGCCTTGCTCTGGAGACACTGACAGCATATGTGTTTCCATAGCACGGTAAGATATGCTGGCCCAGAGGCACTTTGGTGCTGAACAGCTAACCTTAGGCACCAAGGTCTTTAAACTCACTAGTTAGGTGCAGCAATGCTTACTGCTCTAGCTGCTGCATTCCTGTGTGAATCTAGCAGTACGACTTCTCTCCCTAAAAGTCAGTGACTTATTTTTTTGGCCTTGGACAACTATCCTAGGCCTCAGTTTTGTTCCCATTTTACAGATGGGAATAGTACCTACTTACCTCACAGGAACGGTGTGAGGATGTCCTTCATTATTGCTTGCAAGATGCTGTGAGATCCTTTGGAGGAAGGTGCAATATAGAAAGAAATGCATAATGAAATACTTCAGCAAGTTTAGAAATTATGGGTGTTGGGGTCCCACAAAGATATGAATTTGGATGAAATTCAACCAAAGCGGTAAAACTTAAATCCCTCTTAATTTTATACAGGGGAGAAATTCAATTAACATCTGATCCAGTTCCTATTATAGGGACAGATTTCAATGGGAGTTGGACCAAACCCTAAAGTATCTCAGAGGGCTCTTGCTATTTTTTTTTATTGCTGTTGTTGTTATTTGTTATTCTTAAGGTACTGAGATCAAATGGCCTGTATCAACCACAGTGCATCCGTTCTGAACACTACAATGCAATGCTGACCATGGTCACTTTTGACATTGACTGTATTGGTTGAGTGTTTGTTACTCAGAAGTGTGTATGCTACTAAATAAATGAGACTGAAGGAAAAAAGACATCCACTGTGATTTGGTCACAGGACAGTAGCATCTTTTCTTCAAGAATTTATTTAGGGAAGGGACAAAACCTATTTATTTCTTGTGCTTTTTAGTTTTAGCATCTAAATATTTCCTAAAATACAACCAGTTCTAAGATATCTAGAAGCTGATGTTGGAGCTTGGTTCCAAAACCCATTAGTTACATTTGCTTTAGAACCTGATCCACATAAAGCTTGACAGTTTCCTTTGAGGTAAGATCCGTTTCAAAAATCTCAGTTCATAGCCTGCAGTATAGCAAAAAATTGTGCATCAAAAGGCATTTGGCAGACTCAGAGCAGTTAACGGTTCCATGGGGCAGTTTTGTGTGACAGCAGGGAACAAGCAGTCAATCCTCCAGGACTGGCAAAACGTCTCAGCAAGAGAGAGTGTCCTGTGTGCAAGGAGTATTTAACGAAGGGAAACAGCCACCATTATTGTCTCTTTATTCTGTGTTGCAAATATAGAAGTATACACTTGTCCAGCTTGAAATTGCATAGAAACAGGCGTGTCATCTACTTACGTGCAGTAGTCACCCAGCAAGGGAAGTTGGCAAGAAGTGTTGCCATAGTCAGAGGTAATGACAAATCAAAACCAATACAACTGAAATAAGAAGTCATGTGACAAGGTGGGAAGATGTCATGCCTAAAGTCTCTGCATCACATTGAAAAGGGTAAGGAGCCTGGAGGAGAGTGAGCAAGGCCATGTCTACAGGAGAAAATGTCTCACAGAGCTCTGCTGCTTGAGGGCTTGAGGAAGTGTGGTCCCTGGCTGACATAACTGTGGAGATGCAAATACACTGGGGAAAACCGTACTCCCGGCAGTAGCATTTCCATCTCTTTCGGGTAAGTAGAGAAGAGGATATTTGAGGTGGAATAAGTTACACTTGCAAAAGCCCTTAACTATTTCATTAGAATTGCAAAGCTTTCTTAGTGCACACCTGCCCATTGGCAGATTAGTGGAGAACTTGTCTCAGGAAAAGGGTTTACGTGAGGGGGACACCTTAGCATGAGGGGGACACTGCACACCTGTGCAGTTAAAAATTTTGAAAGGAAAATAAACATATAAAACAGCTAAGTTCAGGAGAGAAAAGATAAAAAAGAAATCAGAAGCAAGAATATCAACGAATGTGAAAAGAAAGCAGAGAAAGACAAATTGAAATTTGTGTTACTATAATCTTGTTATCCAGTCCTCTCTTTTAAATGTAGGTATGAGGTTGTATGAAGCAACATAAAGTACCAATGTTGAGTCCAGAAGGAAAAAAACCCCAACTATATACACGCACAAATCTAAAACCAAGTTGGTAACATGTTAAAAGACACCTAGCTATTAGGAAGAGCAATTTATAATAATTCTGTAAATGGCTGATTCTCCAGTGGGGAAGTGTTGGAAGACTTTTCACTTGGATTACAGGACTGAATTAATCCCAGATCTCCAGCTCATGCCATTGCTCTAGGAAACAAAATCTGGTTTTGGCTTTCATTTGCTGAAGTAATCTAATTTTGACACCAGGGGTTCAACTAATGGATTATGCACTAAAAGTGTGTTTTTTAAAAAACAGTTTCAAGCAAGTTATTTTTTTAAATGGTAGCAGTTGAGCACTATGAAATCTGTGATTGTATGAACAGTAAGTTTCAGTCTCAGAATTGTAGGACTGAAGGTTGTACCATACATCACTGCAGTTGTAATTTTCTTTTTTAGATAATATGGTTTGGACAGCATGTAGCATCTCAGCATCACAACAGGAACAACATTGATATTATTTCCTCTGGGCTATTAATTAAAAATTCATTATCTGTGAGGACTTTTAAAAAGCAGCTAAGAGATCAGGTGCGTACAGAAAAACTGCTACAGGTCAAAAAGATTCATGGCAACTGTGCTGACAGAAAACCATTTACCTATAGTTTCATTTGAGAGAGTTAAGAGCTTATATGCACTCTTAAAATTCCTGGCACTTTCTTTTAGTGCCCATTTGGTATGTGCAGCTCCATGTTCTGTCTTGTTACAAGACATTGCATCTGGCTCAGTACATCCCTGAGCTACATGCTGTTGTAAACCAGCTAAGGAAATAAATAATCACTACATAAATAATCACTACATGCTCACTCTAGAGTTACAGTTGTCCTTCCACACACCACAGTTGGTTACTTTTAGAGAGAATGTACTGGGCAAGTTGGAATTTAAATCTGCCTCAGTGCAGCTTTGTCTATGCTTTTCCTGTAAATAAGTACCTTGATGCAGCTATTCAGTAAAACATATATTTGTCCTAAGTTCTGGAGTGAGGAACTTGCATTTTAATTATAAAATGAAGGTATAGCTGCAGCCAAGACTGCCTATGGCATTGGTCATAAACTGCTCTTCTCTCACTTCACTGTTCAATGGCTTATCTAGTTTTATCACTATTGGCCTTTCTAAATTTGTGAATTAAGTTGAGGCAAGTGCTGTGTATGGAGAAAACAGTGGTAGTTCAAGCTGGATAACCACAGGGACAGCAGTCATCCTACCTGCTTCTCACTGGGATCTTAGGGTATTGTATAGTCATTTCCATGTGAAAAAATAGAGGATTGTCTTGTGCCTGCTACTTTCTAAAAAGTCTGCAGGAAGAGAAGGTGGTATAAGTGAAAAAGTCAGTATTTCACTCCTCACCACTGCCTTGCCAACCATGACAATGGCTAAGAAGTGAAAGTAGACTCGTAATGGGCTTGCAAAAGCACTGGTGGTCATAACCATCCTCTGCTCAGGATAGAGCCTATTACGGACAGGGTGGAAAGCGCTCTGGAGTCACGTCCACTGCAGCCCAACTAGGATCACTGCGTTCTACTGTGGCCTCACCACATATGCAGTGAGGAAGGGGCTGAGTTGCTGTCACCCAGTCACAACTGTTGGAAAATTTGATAGCTCACCTTTGGGGAAAAAATTACTAATGCATAAACCATAGGACTAACGTAATCTGAAAGGTAGGGATGTTGAAGATAAATTGACGTTACTCCAATTAGCTAAGAGTAGCTGTATTTATTCTAGACTAGCATGTTCCAGAGGCAGCCAGCCTGAAACATGACCAAAAAAATCTTAGCCTCTGCAATAGGAAAGAATGAGGAAAATTTCCTGCTAACTGGGATGTAGCAGCTTCTGGATACTAAGACAAGACAGGCAATGAGCTAAATACAAGAGAAGCCAGAGAGCTAAAGTAAAGGTGAAATGGAAAGAAGGGCATGAGGCAAGTGCAACCATCTCCCTTGGTCACTAAGCCTATCAGTCCTCACACCACTCCTGAAATTTGCCCACACACAGAGGGACCAAACCTGTTCTGACCTCCTGTCATTCCCCAACATGGAGTTGTAATTACTCCATACCATATGGTTCATTGCTGAAAGGTGGCCATCATCACCACTCAAGTCTGGGAATGATGGTATATAAAACTGTTCATTCTAAAGCCAAAGACCTAAACTATAGGGTGCTTGGAACAGGTGCAAAGTCGGACCAACAAAGCATAAACCTGAGCTGAAGACGCATTTCATTCAAATGGATTCAGACTTCTCACTCTCTGCTTTTCCATACCACATCTAAGTAGTGTCCATCCTTGAACGATGCAAAGGATAAGAAATGTGTGTGGTCAGAGCAAACCTGCCAGCCCACATCTTCAGACTTCAAATGCAGCTGACTGCTAAGTGTGAAGCTTAGCACCTTTTCCCTCAGAAAGGGAGGTACCAGAGCACCTCTTCCTGAGCTCAGAAAGGAACCGGAGTCTATGACTGAGAGCTCACCATACAGCTTGATTAAGCATGAAGGCAGAGTGTAATCTGTCACCATAGGTTGGCAGTGCAACATTTAGGAGAGGGACCAGGACAAAATGCTTCTGAGACTGTTCAGGTTTAATCCAAATTATTTACTTTTTCAGTCTCCTTATTTTGCAGGCTTGAACCAGTAAACATCAGTTTAGACCCTAAGCAATAGAAGAAAGTCTTAGAAGTGAGCTGTCTTCACAACAAAAAACAACTACCAGCAAGTCTGTATGCTTGGAAGGTGAGAAGAAATGACAACCTGCTCAGGTGTGTGAAGCCAAGTCATGATTTCAGCCTTCTCAAATGATTGAGCTAGCCTACCTTTCTGTGTAAAGGGTGCTGTAAGATAGCATTCTCCTTCACTCCTCCCCTCCTTTACATTACTTCGTGTCTACCTCAGAGGAGTAGGTATTAAAATCAAGAATTCTAGTGTGCCAAATGCTAGACAGTTACCCAAGAACCTCAACTTAATGCTTACCAATATAGCACAGGAAATTACTGTTGAATATTGAAGTACTTACAAAAATGAAGTTCATCCCAAGTAAAGACCATTAAAAGATAAAGATACTCCATTTCTCATCACCCCATGCAGCTCACCCTTTCCTGGAGAGATACCTGTGCCTTTCTCAGAAGGAGCTGTAAGGAAAGCAACACCATAAGGCAAGCAGCACATTTCCTTCACTGCACAAAGGGATACTATCAGCCCCACTGACTTTTTTTTCAGTAGCAAATTTGTTTTCCTCTTCATTGCTTGTTTTCAAAGCACATGCTCAGAGGAGCCTGGACTTTTTTTTTTTTACAACCTTGCTACTGCTTCTAGTTTGAGCAGTAGCTTTGTTTTCATGTTTTTCCACAGGGCCTGCTAATAAAACAGATGCAAATGGGGCTGCTATTTATTCTCTTAGAGTGCATAAGCATCATTAGTAAGTCACCAGGACTGTAAAAAGCTCTTGGGAATACAGCAGCCTTTGCAGGTTGGTTGCTGCCGGCACAGCATGCGTTTTTGGTTTCTTTAGTCAGAAAGAAGGGCAACCTGTGCTGGTCATTGTTTGCATCCAAATGCTGTGGTTGGATGGTAGGTCCATTTCTTTTCACCTGAGCAGATTGAAAAGGAGTCCTGTCATTAAGAACTGTATTCTGAATCAGAGCAGCAATGTTCTCCACTGCTAAGCTGGTTCAGTGGAACACATTTGATGAGATAGAAATGCAGCTGTCTTTAACTATCTGGGGATCCTGCCAGGTAGAAGGAGGAAGCAGAACATTGCTGATGTTGAAACATCACCGATCTGATGGAAACCAAAATGCAGGAATTAAGTGAAATAGGAAGCAGTCCTTCCAGACACACACTTTCCCTCATCTTTGGAAGAACCATTTCTGTTATACTGGAGTAACACTCAGGTCATCTGACAAAGACAGACCAGAGTCCCTCTCTCTTGATGTTTTCTCTGTTTTATAAAAAGGCTTTTCATCTCTATGCAGACTGGAGCTCCTTAGCACAGCTGCTCTGACCTCTGCCAAAGCTGATGGCTGGTGGTCAGTGCTATAGCACAGGTCATCATAAGCATAATTTACATTGCCACAGGGGAAAGTCTGGAGTTTCACAAGTTCAATCCCACCGATATCCAGGTGAGGGCAGTTGCTTCGACTTGGAGATGCTGGAGATGCCCGAGAGCTAGGAGAACTGCAATTCCCATCAAAGCCCGAATCTTCCCGCTCTGGAGTTGCTTTGAGCTTGGAGCTGGGGCTGAATTGACAGATGTTCTCCAGCACCCATGATCCATAGGTTGGGTTCCAAAGATTTTTTGTTTTGTTTTTAAGTCTGTGGACTGGTGGATTGCTGAGCTCCAACTTCTGGTTCAAGGTCTGCTGGAACCACGGCCCGCTGTTGAAATCGCTGAGGCATGGCAGGCTGGGCCCCTGAGCAGTCCAGTTGCTCAGGTTCTCCACCAGTAGCTCTTGTGGACATTGTACAAGTTTGTGTCCAGTGTGGTGAGGGTCCAGTGTTTTAGGCATCGTCTGAGGTGTGAGAGAAGGGCTTACCAACAGGGGCACTATCCCACTGGAAATGTTTGGGCGCACAACTGTATTCCCCTCATCTTCTGGTGCTGGGCCACACTCCATGGGCAGCTCAGTGTTGATCACATCAGGGTCCTGAAAAGGAGGCAAGAATCTGTTAGACCCTGAGCACCTCTGGGGTGAGTGTCACATCTGCATTTTAAGAGGAATAGCTATGAGAGCGAGAAAACTCTTGGCAGGGGCTGATACCAGGTTTGGGCAATATTCCTGCATGTCATACAAAGTGCTATGTGCTATCTGGATATCACATGCTGTTAGGACTTGCAGAAATGCTCTCTCATTTATGTGCTTCCTTTGAACAGAGGCTGTGCTTTGTTGAAATCAGTGGCTAAGCTGAGGGCCACTAGTATATAATCTCTCTCTCAGGAGGTTGGATCCAGGCCTGTGGCTGTAAATGCTACCAGATGGTGAACTCACCATGCCATCTCATTTCCCCTCCTCCACTCCATACCAATTCAGCTGTAGCTTTCGAGCAATGTTAGGCAGGGTCAGAATATGAACCTTGACAGAGATTTCTTATACCTTTCCATCACAAAATGAAGTACAAAATCAACAAGCTGAGAGCTGAAAGCATCCACTTGCACAGGAACAGTATAATCTCATTTTGGTTGGGCTGAAGATGGGAGAGAGGATGGATACCAGAAAACCCAAATGAAAAGAGCAGTTGAGCCAGCAGCACCATCACAATTGGGAAAGAAATTAGATCAGTCTGTCAGAACGCTTCACTTGTTTTGGGCACTAAAGCTAATGCCTCTGGATAGCTGGCATTCCATGGATTATCTATCTACATGTATACCAAAGACCAATACCTGTGTGCAATACTTGATTCTTTCCAGGATGGTGGAGAAGTTTGGCCGATACTCTGGGCTGTGCTGCCAGCACTGTGTCATGATCCGGTACCTTAAAAAAGTGGATTAAAAAAAAAAAAAAGAAAGTATTGATCAAGAAAGATTATTAAGTAAAATGTGTTTGAGTATGAAGTCATCATGGCTCCAGAGGAACTGCACTCTGTACATGGCCCAAAGGAGGGGAGCAAAAGTGGACATGTCATTTATGCATCCTCGGATCCTGAGCCATTAGGGGACCACTACCTAAAGCAACTCCTATAGTGCTCTAGTTTGCATACAAGAAGCAGTGGCTCAAGAGATATTAACTAATACCCACCTGACACCGGTGTCAATCACCATTTCCTGACTGAAGATGTCTACTTGCCTTGGTCTAACCTGTTTGATACCCACTATGCCTTGGCTTGTAGGAGTAAGGAAATACTTACACTGGTCCTGGACAGTTTTTTGGTGGATCCATTCTTCCTCCACTGGTGACAAATTCCAGCACTTCCTGATTGGTTTTGCAAGGGTAGGGCATGTAGCCTAGAGAGAAAATTTCCCAAAGAAGCACACCAAAGGACCTGTGTCAGAAACAAGCCAACAATACCAATTAGGTTTCATTTGTGCTCCACAAACCTGGCATGAAGCTGCGCAGGTAACATCACAGCAACAACCTCTCAAAGCTGTAGGCTAACCACAGTAATGTTCAATTAGCATGGTTAGGAGTAACATTTGACATAAAAAACCCAATCAATGAAAATCTTTGTTCAAAGTCCAAAACTAGCTTTGCAGAGGTTTCAAAATATTTGAGTAACTGGAGCTGTTCTTTCTGCTGCATTCATTATTTCTAGAGCAGGAAATGCCAGAGCACCCTTTGCTGTATATGGTCAAACTGAAAAGAGCTGTTAGATCTTGCATAGAGATTCTTACCTTACTTGAGATGTCTGAGTCAATATTTGGGAAGAGGATGCTCAAGAATAAAATATAATAAGAGACATCCAGTGAAGCAGAAAGACAGCAGCATTTATTTTTTGTCATGATACGGTTGCTTTCCTTATTTGCAGGTCAGTTGGGCAGTGTCACTGAAAATCATGCATGACTTAGACCCAGGGGAGTCAAGAAGGTTCTGCCAGGACTTAAGCAGGGTCAGAATTTTAAGAGTCACTATTTGCTGCAAGAGTGGAAGAAATTTCCACTACATGCATGTTACTTTTAATAGCCTCTTACAGGAACTGTAGCACTTTCCTTCGAAGTATTTAGTACTGGCTGCTCACAGTTAGGTGCTGATAAGCAATCCCTTGTCTTCCGGCATCACCAACAACTTCAGGAAACTGGGTCACTGTGGCATTTGAGGGAATGTCTCGGTACAGTATATTGAAGAGTCTACTGTACAGGGAGAGGCGCGTTCTTAAGCAACTGGAAAGCTTCCATTCCCCAGCACCTGTGCATGAATGTGCTTCTGTTGAGGGGGTGCTTATTTTAAAGAAAGATAAAGTTACATGAGGAATCAATATATAAATATTGTTTCCTCAGCAACCAGCAAGGCCTTCTGATTAAATCTGCTGTCATTTTATATACATCAGAAAAATATTATACATGTGTAATCTTGGGTGGTACAGAGAGTCATTGACAAGATATATAAGCAGGCCTCATCACTGATAGAAACTGAGTGGCAGGGTTGAGGGAAGTGTCTGATGGGATTTGGACTTTTTAACTAAGGCTTCTCAGGAATCTAAACTGCTTTCTCTTTTCACTTCTTGATTACCTTCAGATGATACTCTACATTTATGTATAGCAATCTTTTTATTACCTCCATTTACATTAGATTTTTAAAATTCTTATTCAGAATGCTTTAGCCGTGCTTCTACTGAATGCAGAAGGAAGACTTTTGTAATATTTTTCTGAGAAATTCTGACATTTTTTAAGGTTCCTGCTAAGCAGACATTTTTTTCTTGTGCAGTACATTTCTTGACCCTTATCACCTAGTGGCAGAAGTGGTTAAAAGACATCTGTTACCAGGTATCAGTCTTAGAGGTGAAAATGCCCTCTAGAAAAGCTTCTGGTGGCATCCACTTGACAGGAAGCATGGCTCTTCCTCCCTTGCGGTAGTAACTTGCTCTGGGAAAGACAAAATGTATGGAGAATGTCACACAGTCTGAAAGGGCTCAGATTTATAAAAGATCTTATCACCACAGCAACAGTAGCTGGGGATTACATTCAGCAATGGGGTCCAAGAGTGAAAAGGGAAAACCTATCAACACAAATAATGCATTGAAGCACTATTTTATATCCTCTTCACAATAAGAATGGAAACTGAGGATGTTGTAGGTGCACAGCTGAAGACATCAGATTTGCTGTTGCTTTGCACAAGGTGCTGATGCAGCAAGTATTCTTGACATCATACACTGAAAATTACGGTTGGTATTTTTTAAATTTAAGATTATTTATGATCAACTAGCTAATACATTTGCCTATGCTTGGTTTAGTGTCCACATGTGTTTGCAGTGTTCCCTAGGGCCCAGTCTGGAATAAACACAGTTGAAGTATATTTGCTAGTAGGCATAGATGTGTTAATTTACAGTTTAACTCCAGTTAGTTAACTGGTAATCAAATTCAGACACATGATGGATGGTTCCACACTGCAGATTCCATGACATAGCTCCAACTGGTCAAAACGATACAGATTGCTGAGTTACTTATAGGACTGAAATGGCTTTTCTCTTACCTATAAATATCCCTGGCCATCCCAAAGTCACCAATCTTGGCTATTCGTCCTGCTCCAGTGCAAGTCAAGAGGCAATTCCTTGCAGCTATATCTCTTTTAAAAGAAAATACATTATTAATTCTAATTCTAAACTCTTAAGTAGCTAAAGAAACAAATAATATTGGACCCAGTCCTGCATTAGTCTGTATTAGTTGAGTCATCTTTACAGAAATTAGAAAAACCTTATTAAAAATAAGAAAGAATGCCAGCTACGTTATAATTTTTATTAACCATAATTATTAAACTGCATTTAAATTACATTTTCTACCCAGTATGTTCCAAGCATTCCCCACTCCCATCTCCATTCACTAAGGCAGAAAACAGAGTCAGTGTCAGACCAGGGACAGATGCAACGTCTTTTGCTTCAACCATTTTATGACAGATTTCTTTCTTGATTTATTTTTTCTTTAAGAGTGGCGTCTCAGCAGCATCTCCATTAGTTACAGATGTGATGGTATTGGGTAGTCTTAGTAAAGTGCTTGAAAAGTCAATATAGAAACAGATTCAGTAAACCGAGGCTTTGTTGCCTATGGATAGCTCCTGTGGAACAAGAAAAGCTACATATGGGAGCAGCCATTTGCTGGGTGCAGGTTTAGCTTGTGACAAGTGGCAGTGATGACTGCGTGGCCAAGACTGAAGGATTTGTGTTCATTTTAAATACGCATTCTGGAAAGGAACTCATTAAAAATCATAGCACTGTGGGGGTCCTGTTGACTGCCAAGAAAAATGAGCTCCTTGAAAAACTCATACGTTTCTTCCCACTGCCAGCCTTGAAAAAATCCTCAAGATTTCTAAGTCAAGCTCAGCTTTCTCTTCCATCAGCTGTGACTCCTAGATGACAAGACTTGTCCTTAGTGACAAAACCAAAACCCCACTAAACTACCGTTCCCCCCTACAATACCAGTTAACCACAGACTCACGCAGAATGTTAGGGATTGGAAGGGACCTCGAAAGCTCATCCAGTCCAACCTCCCTGCCAGAGCAGGAACACCCAGATGAGGTTACACAGGAACATGTCCAGGCAGGTTTTGAATGTCTGCAGAGAAGGAGACTCCACAACCTCTCTGGGCAGCCTGGGCCAGTGCTCCATCACTCTCACAGTTATCTGTAATGATAACCTTCACCACTTCCCTAGTAACTCTAAGTAATCCTGACATCACTAACACACACCCCAATATGGAACCTGAACAAAATTCCTTCTATATTGATTTCCTGAATTGTTGGCTAAAATGAAACAACTTCACTCCTAGGTTGCTTACACAAGAGATCTAACAGTGTAAAAACTGACCAAGAGAGGTTTTTTTAAAGTGATATGCTGCTGTTAAAAGAGTCAAGCACTATTTTCTTCCATTTCTCTCCTGAAATGAAGGTTGATCTTGAGGAGTAAGAGCTGACCTGTCCATTTGTTGACATAGATATTAGAAACTTTATGTAATGTCTTCTGGGCTCAGTGACATATGATAAGAAAAATAGGGAACATCTACCTGACAGGACAAAAAAGTAGTTTTGTAAAACACTTGTGGAGAAAATTTCAGTTGAGTTGCTATTGGACTTCTTGCAACACAAGCAAAAATTGACCCTTAACATAAATTCAATAGATCAAGGTGGGTGGAAGTTGATAATGATATTACTATCATAATAGTAATACAATACTATTACAGTAAGGATTAAAAAAAAATGCTTCAGTTTAACTCTGAAGTTTCCAAATAGAATACTGATCCTCACATATACTTATTAAGAGCTCCAAGAGACAAAACTTGTTCCATGCTCTTATTGCTTTTTTTTTCAGAACAGAAAACTCTTTTTCTTAAAACGAAAAATCCCTTTTTCAAAGGAACTTATTTATTGTTCAAATATAAAAGAGACTGAAAACTGTCTCAGATGGCCTAATCATAAAGACATAAGATATCCTATACCTCAATCTTACTACTTTTTGCTCTGATTGCTGCTTGCTACTTCTTTCCCTCAGTTTCTCCAGCCCCTATCCACTCTTGCCTACCTCTGTGCAGTGTCGTGTGTACATACACGTGCTTGTGCGTGTGGGTGAATCAGTTGCAACTCCAGCTGCACGTCGGTTTAGTTAGAGCCTGTGTGACCCCCTTGTGTGCAGGCCTCTCCTTTCCTTTACACACAAGGCTGAACTCAGCCTGGAGTTCATACTCAGGAATTCAGTTGCACGCTATGCCTGGGAACATTATGAGCTGAAAACAACTCTGAATCAGAGGCAAAGGAGTCCAATATCCAACAGGGAATTTGAAAAGGCTACCTATAATAACTTACTCATTTTCTGTAATATTTTATTCTTATTTGAAGCCTGCCATATGAGCATTTTTTGCTCTACAAAAGAGGAAAGAGAGGTGTGAACAGACAAATATGGGCTCCCCAGGACCACACAGCAGGCCAGCCGCTGAGCTGAGGGGGAAGCTCTAGAGCTGTGGTTTTTCCTACTGTTACCCCTGTTCTATCCTACTTTAGTCAGCAGCTCAAATATTATTTGCTGTCCTGTGCCGACGGGATATGAAAAACATTAGGTCGAGATAGGGAGATTAGAAAAGAGAGAAATTATACCTTATGGTCTTACAAGCTGTAGCAGAGTGACACTACCATCTAGTGGACTATAGGGCTAATCTCAAATGTGGCTACAGTGTAGGCATCTGAAAACGAGCACTTGAAAACATTTCCCCTGAATAGAAGATTCCTTTCTCCCCAGCAGTACAAGGAGCAGTGCAGAGCCCAATTCCTACTGAAAAACACAGTGAGACCAGCCTGGACGTCTAAGCATGGGCCGTATGGGTAGAGGAAATATATTTGTCCCCCCGGCGGTTAGTTCTGTCTAATCCACTGCAAATAGAAACTCCATACGCTTCATGCACCTTGAGATACATCAGAAGGGACTGTTTCTGCTCACCTGTGGATGAAGTGATTCTCTTCCAGATATTTACAGCCGCAGGCAATATCTCTAGCTATGTTCAGCAGAATTGATAGCGTGGATGGCTGATTCTGGAAAAGGAGACACAGAAAATGGTAAGGGAAGAATAGTGGAGTAGAAGAAAGTACTTCAGGCAGGGGCTAATCAGAGAGGGGCAGGAGAAAGGGAGAGACATATGCACAGGGTGGGGAAAAGGGTTAAAATGATCAGGAGCGAAAAAGAACACAAGCAGATCAAAGGAAAGAGTTAGAAAATGAATGAACTCTTATGTAACCCAAAATAATTTCAGAAGATTTCACTTCTGAGCACGGTGCATGACTGCAAGCTGGCAAGAGATTTATGGCCTGGCCTGAATAGCCTAGTAAAGGGGTGGAAGAGGACTATCCCCAACTGGTGTTGGACTTTGAGTGCATGACTGCAAGCTGGCCTGAATAGCCTAGTAAAGGGGTGGGAGAGGACTATCCCCAACTGGTGTTGGACTTTGTGAAATCAAAAGGCAAGCAGGTTTAAAAGGTGAGATGGGAGCTAAAACAACACACTCACTTTTAAAGAGTTAATAAACTATCAACAGCAATTGGCACATAAACTCAGAGAGGGAGCAAAGATGCACGAGTGCACATCCCTGCACCAGCAGTCAACATTCATCAGCTTATCCATTCTTGTGGAAGGACAGATTACCCTCAGGAGCAGTATGTGAAAAAGGGTGCTTCTCCACAGGAATCCGGGACTGGCACTAGCCCTTCCCCAGCTGCACTTCCCTACCTAAGAACTGTTAAAAAGTCTTTCTCCAGGAGCCCTGTATTATTTTCATCCTGTCAATTACTTCCCCATAGGGAAATTTCCTTGGTGTTTCTTCAGGAACTTCTGTATTGCTCTCAGGAAGGGTGTGGAGACATTTCTACACTGCTGATCAAAAGCCCAAGAGACATCAAATAAACTGTTATTTTTTTGGTTTTGCTTTTGTTTCTGGATGCTGTTAACACTGTCACTTCTCATGCTCAAACCACATAACATACACTGCAGCCATTGAGTGCTATTTTTATTGGCTAGGCAAATTATTGTACAAAGCTTTTGGACATCTGCCCGGGAGAATTATTATCGTTATGAAGTAGGCATATCTGAAGAAGAAATGAAGAGCAAGGAGGAGAAATAGAACCACAGACTTCCAGACCTTATCTCTGATCTGGGATCCCTCTGTCAGAAGACTGTGATGGACACGCATTTTCTCTGCAACCAGGGAAACTTGTCATGAAATACATTCATGATGGGGCTGGTTCTGTTTCCAGAAACGGTGTACAGGGACACTTTTTGAGTACTAAGGAGACTTCAGCTTTTGAATTTGCTATCTGCTAGCACACCAGCTAACATAGCAGCAGGTTTGTTTTCACATGATATTTAAAAAATAACTGTTCTTTACATTACAACTAAGTATTGAAATGGGAGTATTTATTATTCTCTGCTGCCCACAGACTTCATCTACTCACAGAAATTGTACCACTTTCACTATAAATGCCAAAAATAAAGCTATACAAACTCCATCTGGATGCTGTTATACCACTGTAAGTGGTATTTAATTAGTATATTTACTCCTGTATGAGGAAGAGATTAAGCTTGATCTTTCAGCAACATTGTAATACCAGCATAGGAGTATATGCATATGAAGCCACATTGTCATAACTATTTGTGGTGTGTGTGTGTGGAGGAGAAGCTGTGCAACTGCACCATGTGGTGCAGGAATAGAGGAGGCACCAGTCAGTCTCTTCCTGGCCCTGTAGGCAGCCAATACAACCAGAATTAATGTAGAATCAGGCCTAACTCTTGTTTTTAAGTCTCCACTCAAGAAGAGCTATATCCTTATTTAACAGAGGTGCCCAGAATCACACTGCTAAGAAGTAAAACACTTATCTGGAATCAGCTATTCATTGTAAGAACATTGAAACGAATTAATTCCAAATATTCACTGTACTTGGTTGGCATCAATATAGTATTAGAAAACAGAGATAATTTGCAAAAACCCTCATGACAGCTTTTTATAAAAGTGTTCTTCTTTACTTAAACAAAACTATTTTACTTGATAATTTCATTTGCATTAATTTAAATCCTGTTACAGTGCTACATGCAGGCTCAGCTCTTCATCTAGCATAAATTTGTGCATCTCCAAATGGTGCTGATGCACACCTGCTGAGGACCTGGTGCTGCAAATTCCCATTACTGCCTATCAGTGTTATAACTTCAGCTCCTCATACACCATCACAGTGCACAGAAAACAAGGTGTATGTTGAGGAAATAAAGCCCCTTAATTTGTAGCCCAGTTGACAGAGAACTCCCTCCTAAGTTACTGCTAGACTGGAGTTTTGGCACTGCATTTTCTCTCATGGACATTGGCTTATATCAAGAGAAGGGACATATGTATCCAGAAGCTTGTAGGAGCTGGGAAACACACACAGAGCCCTGCTAGGCTTCGATGCCTTTATCCAGTTCATAAAAATAATAAAAACAGTCATACTAAAATAAACCACAAGCCTAGTGGGGAAGTTATCTCACCATCCTGGGTCGATTCTGCCGAAGAAAGCTCTTCATATCTCCTCCAGCCATGAGCTCAAGCAGAATGAAGCGAGGCAGTGTCTGTAGGCTAACACCGATGCACTGCACAATATTTTGGTGATTGAACTTACTGAAAGCCAAGATCACAGCAACATGGAAGAGAAAGACAGCATTAGTACCTAGCCAATATCCATCACACTCACTGTGCCTTGAGCTCTGACAATCTGGATTGAAGCAAATCCCAATGTGGTATAAGTTACCAAACAAATTCCTACTTCAGTCATATCAAAATGCCTCTCCAATTATTGCAGGGTTAAGCCTGGCTTTGCCCATAAAAAGGTTTCAACAGAAGGTATGAAAAGCTGAAAGTAAAGCAGAGTCTTACGTCTGTGAAGAGAGAACTTAATGGACTGAAAGAAGGGGGTGATGTGAGAGGGAAAATAAAACTAAGCACTTCAAATATGCAAAAATTAGTAGCATTTGTGAAAAAAAAATCCTGACCAGTAGAGATTTTAATTCAACATTGGTTATTTCAAATATTCTTCTGTCTAGTTTGGTGGATTCAGTTCAGTATCCAGTCTACCAAGGAGGGAGTCAGCTAATACCTACTGCAGCAGCTGCTTATGTGATATGATTACTGCTTCTTGCAAAAGAAAGCTGAGATTGTCAAGAAGCTCAATAACACTCAGTCATTAGAAAGCAGCATCTGCTCTTGGATCGTGATTACCTGGTTAATACAGGAACTAAAAATGGAAAGGAAGTTGAGGAAGAGAGAGAGTCATGTGCTACTAAGTGAATCAAAGCACTCTGTAATCGATTGAAATTGCTCTTTAAAAAAACACGCATCAGTGTTACCTCCTGTTCAGCTGCCAAAGTTCTTGCAGGCTAGGAACTGGCACTATGTCATGAGAATCATGCTTTAATAACAGAAAAACAGCATCGAGGTATGAGCTGGGCCAGACAATGAGACGAATTTCATGTTGCACAAATTAAAAATGCATAAATTCTGATCACTTACAATTAACATTGGATTGGACTATTATTTTAAAGTCACCCTTGACTACGCTATTGTTTAAAGGTTATGGATTCGGGTTAATAAAGCAAATTCCAAAATCGAAATACTTAAAGTAGAGATGGTAATAGGAATGGCTGTCTTATATTTTCTGGGCAGGTTTTATAGATCTTGTAGTTCATATCAGAAGGTCATGCAGATGAGACCTCATAAAGGTTCTGTCTAGCTCACAAAGACATCAAAAGCCAGAACACTTCTAAGAGAAATGGCCACACTAGGAGAAGAGCTGTGTTCCACCTGTGCAAGCTACACACATAGAGCCATATTCACTAACTTATCCCTACAGAGATTTCAGTGTCTTACTGGCTGTTTTTGTGCAAAGAAAGGGTAAAAAGCCCAGGACCTTCACTGCAAAAAGCTCTTACTTAGAGCAAACTGTTTTACAGATAGGAAAAGCAAAAAGGATGCACGTACACTTACTGACTGAAGGCCACAACGGGAAAAGCATTTCACGCTTTCTCCTTCTTCAGCTGACAAGCCTGCTCTTATAAAGACTCTTCCTTTTATTTGCAAGAGATAACAGTTTTAGCTCTAGCATCCAAGCCTAAAAACACACTTCCCTGGCACACAGCCTGTGTTGTACCACCTTGGCGCTGGTCCTGCAGAGGCTGAACGTCCAAGTCACTGCATAGGTGGCTCTAATCTCTAATCTTTAGCTTTCCTATTGCTTTCCATTTCATCATTGAAAATTTGTTTTAACAAGGGACATGATTTATACTTAGTAAAAGGGCAGTGGGAATCTTTGAAAAGGAGAACATTTCAAATGCAGGACATGTTTGTACAAAAATGTGCCTTTTTACTCCTCTGAACATGGTCAGCAGAACCAACCAGCAGAAATTTTTGCTGAGATGTTGTACTGGTTTTGGGTGGAATAGAAATACTTTTCTCCACAGTAGATCATACATGGTGCTATGTTTTGGATTTGTGATCAAACCAGTGTTGATAACACATTGATAGTTCAGCTATTGCTGAGCAGTGTTTATACAGTGTTAAGGCTTTTCACATTCCCCCACCAGCAAGTTGATAAGGGTGCACAAGAAGTTGGGAGGGGACACAGCCGGGACAGTTGACCCCAACCAGTCAAAGGGATTTCCCACACCATATGACATCGTGCTCAGCAATAAGAGCTGGAGGAAGGAGGAGGAAAGGGGGTCATTTGGAGTTTGACATTTGTCTTCCCAAGTAACTGTTAGGCATGACAATGCCCTGCTTTCCTTGAAATGGCTAAACATCTGTCTGCCAGTGGGAAGTAGTGAATGAATTCTCCACGTTACTTGCACACACAGCTTTTGCTTTACCTATTACACTGTCTTTATCTCAACTCACCAGTTTTCTTACTCTCGACCTTCTGATTCTCTTCCCCATCCCACTGCTGTGTGGAGCTGAGCTGCCTACTGGCATTAAACCACAACAGATGTGCAACAAGAGCCTCAGTTACTTTGACATGAGCAAGCAGCTGAAACCAGTAACTCATATGCTACTAAAATGCCATCTGGTTGCTTTCTGAACCCAAGCAAATGGTTTAATAATTCTTATTACCTTCATTACTCATTTCCCCCTCAGCCCACCATCAGTATCAAAACCTTAAACTATACCTGATAATCAGTGCTTCCATCAGGAAATCCATCTCGTCCTGCTCAGAGCAGACTTCTGGTAGGGTCTGTTCAGAGGGAAAGACAGTGAGGACGATCCCACCAAAGAATTGAGAACATTTGGGTGACCACCAAAGGAATAAGAAAAAAAAATAAAAAAAGGAATGAGCACGTAACATGTGAATGACTTTGGGAATCTACAAGTAAAATAAAAAAGGAATGAGCATGTAACATGTGAATGACTTTGGGAATCTACAAGGAGAGTCTTGTCTTCTCAGTGTCCAATTTATTGGACTGCATGTGACCCATTTAGTAGGTAAACAGGAAACTGGTGACCTACATGGATATTTGTTGTGTGCACTTAACTATATGCAGTGTTCTGGAGCAAAACAACTTCAGGTATACACCAAGAAAGGCAGTAGCTGGGAAATTACAGATGTAGTAAGCACTTCAAAATGACAGATGTTAATTTATTCTCCTTTTTTATATGTCCACATTGCAGCACATGCTTCCATGTCATATGAAACATACAGCCACGTGATTTAAATAACTGTGTCACGTGGGTCTTATAGCGTTCTCTCCTGCCAGCAGATTTGGACAACATCTGCCACTGAGAGCACAGGCAGCAGTGGAAGCAGCGCCTGCTACTGAGCCCACTGTTTTGACATTATGGGATGGTTTGGCCACAGCTGTGTATAGTGCCTGCTGCCAAACTGCACACAGAGAAGTGGGATGTTTACTGCTCAGTGTGGTGAGGATAGCATGGAAACAGTTCTTGCCATCAGCAGTGTGGGCTGCAGAAAACAGGGTTGCATTTTGCTATCTCAGATAAGTGATTGCTTCACACTGAACAGTGCAGATGATCTCTTAAATTGGTGAAATACCCACAAACAATATGTGGAGTACATTGCAAATATATTTTTTAATTTATTCCTGGTCTGCACCTGCTTCTTCTGCAAAGTCAGATCAGGACTAGTACGCTGCATCATGGAGTAAGGCAAGCACAGCCACAGCTTGGGACCCATGGACACTCTTCCAGTTTCCAGTCAATACCCACAGACAATATGTGGAATACATTGCAAATATATTTTTTAATTTATTCCCAGTCTGCACCTGCAGACTTCTGCAAAGTCAGATCAGGACTAGTATGCTGCATCATGGAGTAAGGCAAGCACAGCCACAGCTTGGGACCCATGGACACTCTTCCAGTTTCCAGTCAGGGAAAAGAGCATTTGAATGATGTTCAGGGTGTTCACTTTATAGGGAACTGAGTTAACAAGTGGGCAGGCGGGCAGACAATCAGCCATCATTGCTGAGACTTGCAAAACTGGTGACATCCTCACTGGATAATCACAACTGAACAACAGGCCCATCTACTTCTGTTTGTCACTGTGCTGCGATGCTTCCTCCCGTCTGGGCTGTGAAACTGGGTCGAGCTGTTACAACTGCTTGCTAGGGTCTGTTCTGGCTTTTCATGCACATTCGTTCAGTGGCACAGGAAAGCTCATAACAAAATGTCATAATGCATGAGCCTTTCACCTTTTTAAAAAAAATTTTAAAGAAGGTTCTGAAAGACAGGACAAATAAGTGTAGAACTTCTTTTTATTAATGAAGTCTGCGTGTTGGGCTGAACTCATAGAAGTAGATTTGGTTCTCTGAGACACAAGCTTATAAAAGAACAAAAGCAGGCTATGAGCACACTTAACTTCAGGGCTGAGTAACTGACAAATCCTGAGGCAACAGCAGTAATTTCACAAAAAAAATCAGCCTGTTACCTCTTGCCATTAATGACATGGAAATTAGCACGATATCACAATATATCTCCACAGCAGCATATTTAACACTATGCAATACTAAGAGACTACCTGAAAGTTTCACATGTCATAGACAAACACTACTCTCATTATAACAGAAATATAACTGAGAAACAATACAAGTTTTTAAATACAGTAATGTCGTGGGAAAAACTTAGGAGAAAACACTCAAAACAACTGAAATGCAGAACTAATAATATATAAGCGCTACTGTAAGTGTTTACTGTTTGCTGTCACATAAATGCTTCATATTAATATTTGCCAGGACTTTCTTTTCTTTGTACAAGATTTAGAAATCCCCTTCCAGTCTGCAATGCCCCCAAAATGTCTGTTTGTTGCTATTTTTTCCCCTTAAGTTTCTTTTTTTTCTTGGCTACTCAGATCTATAAATCATTGTGGCAGATTCACTGTTGGAGTGAACTGATGGTTCTGTGTTGCTTTCAAGGGAGCTATATTTATTTATGTTGATAGTGAACTTGTTATTTTATTTCGACTAATCATATTATGCAGTCTTCAGGTGACTAATTCACACAACTTTCCATCTGAGGACACTGATTCTACACCTCCAGAGCAACGTGAATAGAGCTTACCAAACAGATGGCCCTTTTTAGATCCTCCTAGTTAGATCACAACTTACAGCCATTAGGCATGCGGAAAACTAGACAGATGCTCTACTTTCAACTTGCTGCTAGTGCCATACAGCTTAAAAATCAAAGTTTAGTAAACCTGTATCACACACATGCACATGTCATTATGCATGTGATGAACATGAATCTCCAACTGGAAGAGTAATAAGATAATATGGCTCTTATGGGTAATTATTGTTGTATAAGAAATTTTTGGGTACTGACCTTGATAGCCACTTGAAGAGGGTTGGGATCTCCTGCAATGCCTACCACAGTTCCCTCATAAACCTCACCAAATGCACCATGTCCTAGTGCCCTGGAAGAAAAAAAACAAACCAGAAAACAGATGTTACTATGCCTCTGGTTCCAGCACCAGCTGAGCTCTTTTGATCATCCAGTTCAAGACTAGGAATAGAACCTGCTGTAAGAGACTGAATCAACAACAGAGTTTTGTTTTCAACTCAAAGCTTCTGAAAATAACTTCTCAGTATTTTCTGTCACTGTCACTAAAGCAGGGAGGCTGGATCCTTAATGGTTCTGAACAAAGAATGCAGCCTGCTTAATCCTATGGCCCTATCACCAACTATGGCAATAGCAAGGCAAGAAAGAACTGGAAAACAAAATAAGGTAGCTGCAAGCTGATGTCTTCAGAAGATGGTGCAAGACAGCACATAAGAATGATCAAGCTTTTCCTTCTGAAGTTTATACAACTTTGATCAATATCTTCTGGATGGTTTGGAGCTGAAGAGCAATGTAGCATGTAGTTCCTTGTGACAGGAAATTTCCTTATGATAGGAGATGCTGAAAAAGAAATATTGCTATAGATATGGAAGGGAGTCACTACCAGGTGGCGAGTGTAATCCAGGACATTGCATAAAAAAAACAAGAGGTGAAATACCCCATGCTCTGTGTGGGAACATGAACAGGAGACTCATAAACTTACACTTCTGCTTGAGAACTTTATGGAATCAAAATATCTTTGAAAACATAGTGTCACATCTGTTGTATTTTGGCCGGCTTGGACTAGGCACTTTCCCCTTAGTCAGACAGCTGGCCCTCATTTTCTTGTCCTGGATGCTTGAGGATGAGTAAAACAAGCATGTGAGCCCTACCTCTGCCTTTGCTTCAGGCTGCCTTTCCTCTCCTGTGCCAGAGAGAAACCTCTACAGCAAGTCTTACCGAAGCAGAGAGATGTTCTTCCGTGGGATCTCCTTCAGCTCGCTCAAAGTGGCGGCCTTCCCTGCGAAGCAGTAATTCGGGTTGTAATCTGTCATGATGGCTGATGTGCGGATTTTGCTCAGTTTATATTCTGGGCTCTGCAGTCGTGCTCTGGCTCCTTCCAGCTGCTGCTTCTTAAGGTGATAAACTGGGGGTGGGGAAACAAATAAAAATGCACAAACAAGATCAACACCTGGAGAGAAGACAACGCTGACCTTACAGAACAGAAAGAAACTAACTCTGTAATTATAGACGCTCAAGAAGCATCTTTAGCTCACCATGCTCCATGCTTTCTAGTCTCCACACTCTGTAGTGATATAATAGTGGATATGCAAACAATCTTATTCCTGCAGAGTCCTAATCACCTGTGAGCACCTTCTGTTTTCTCTGCTGCTTTGTACATCAGCTGAGGAAAGGCTGCTCCACAAGACACTTTGCTGACATCAAGTCTCTGAAAGCATACCATCTCCCTGAATTAACTATATGTTTAATTACAGACTGCGACTTCAGCCTATATAGCAGTGGCTGCTAAAGAAATGCCTGCTTAAAAGGGCTTTCCAAGCTCTTTTCTCTGCAGCAAATACCAAAACAGAGCAGTTTTTGCCCTCTGGAATTATGCTTGTGCCTAACTGTGGGGTGGTGATGTTTCCTATGTCTTCTTTCTCCCTGTCCCTCTCATCCATCTGGGAGACCACAATACTCTGGCACCAAGTATTAGAAGTAGTAGCATGTGGTTGGATGTTCTCCTTTTGTCTAATTTAACTGGGAAAAGCCAAGTCAAAGGGTGCTAAGAAGTAAGTGTTTCTTACTGATGGATAGACTGCCACAAGTGAGGATCATTCCAAGCACCACAATCACAGCCACCACAGCTAGGAGGAGTGGGAGAGGAAGGTGTCCCTCTGCGATATGACTCTGGGGAACTGGAAAAAAGGAAAAATAACGATGTATTAATCAGAAAACAATCAGAGGTGGCATAAAGCATCTCTCTCAAGGTTGCTTCTATTACAGAAACAATACAGAGACCATGGCCAGATTATCTTATAAAAATTACAGCAAACATGTCTACAGCCCTGGAGGTGGAAAAAATATCTAAATAACTTTTAAAACATTGTGAAGATACAAGTCTAAAACCCCATATTTCTTATCCATTCTTCAATTTTTTATTAATGAGTAACACCACTGCTCCCAGGCTGAAACTCTACAGTCTTGATGCTTGCTTTGGAGTTGCAAGAGACTGTGTCAGAAAATAACAGTGAATACCAGGCATCAGCTGAACAGGCACAGTGGGAAACTGCTGTAGAGGAAAGTAATTTGTGGCTTAAATAACTCAGCAGAAGGTGGTATGTTATACCAGAGAGGTATTTACGCTTAAATATCTGATACATTGTGCCCATTCAGGAAATTTACACTGTGTCCCTTTACAGAAATTTTACCTTCTACCTAATCTAAACTTGGATTTTGGAGATGTTGATAGAGGTGCAGCTCAGCGTGTAAGGCAAGGATATCAGGAATTTTCAGTGATATGTTTGACTGACATTTCTCATAACATCTCGTTCACTGGAGTCACCAGCTGTAATCTGGGGATCTGACCATCAGAAAAAGCTAGGAGGAAAGCCAATACAAGAAATACAGACATTATCTATATAAAACTCCACAACTTACCAGTGCAGGTGACGTTGTCGTTGGCTAGCACAGACCCTATTTCACATTGGCAGACTGGCAGGTTGGTGTCAGGGTCCCTCTTACAGTTGTCTGAGTGGCAGTGGCTGCAGTTAAGATAGACCTGAACCTCCACCTCACCGTGACTCTCCATGGCTGAATGAGGAACCAGACACAACAGGAAGGTTTAGTTTAGCTTTACCCATCTTGTTCCAGTAAGGAAAAAAATAGGAGCAGGCACCTACATCTTCTCTCCTCTGCAGTAGAGCAGATAGTCCAATACAGCATGAACACTTCAGAAACCTTAGAGGGGACAGGAGGGAAGAAGGGATTGGATCCCTCAAGTAGAGACGGCTTGAAATGCATTGACCTGGAAATGTCTGGGATTGAGGATGTGTAGAAAACTTGATGACAGGTCTGTCCTGGCTTAGAGGTTGAGAGGAAAAAGATCCCAGAGCACTACAGATGTATTTAAAGAAATGACCACAGCTAATGATCTGTTCTGCAGAGTGAAATATCACAGAATCACAGAACGTTAGGGATTGGAAGGGACCTCAAAAGATCATCTAGTCCAATCCCCCTGCCGGAGCAGGAACACCTGCCTGAATATGCCTGAATGAAATGCATAAAAAGCAAAGAGAGGAGGAGAGGGAGCAGGAAAGAGGAAAGAGGAAGGAAAAAGGAGGAGGAAAAGAACTAATAATAGGAGGAAGGAAAAAGGAGGAGGAAAAGAACTAAGAGGAATAAGAATAACATCGTACCTGCCAGGGGATGCAAGAAGATCTCTCCAGTACATTTTACCTGCCAGGGGATGCAAGAAGATCTCTCCAATGGGGTTCACAAAAGAGATGCCATCCTGCCCACCAGCTGTGATATCATCATTATCAGAGGCATGCCCCCCTGGGGAAAGAAGAGTGTGGCTCACTGATCAGTGCTGCATGCTGCTGAAAATGTGATGCCTCTGAAGTGCTGCATTCGTTCCCAGCTCTTATCACCTGGGGTCACTCTGCAACCTTCCAGTGATATTAATACATATCATATTCTTGACTCAACCAGTACCAAGGTTAGTGAAGTGACTTATTCCAATGTAGGTTTCTCAGTTCAGCAAAGTAAAAACGTATTTTCCTGGGTAACCTGGGATGAAAGAAGGGGTGTTTCAGCACACCTTTCAAATACTAAACCACTCAGGAACACTTCTATAGCTTTGATTTCCCCAATTAAAGAGAAATGGCGAAGAGTGGGGCAGGTTTCACACTGTTCATCTTGAAGTATCTGTAAATCACCTTCTGCAGTAGTGTACCTCTGCACTGAGAGCTCCAGCCCTTAACTGCAGGGACTCTGAAGTGCACAAAATTAGACAGTATGGCTGTTCCTCCACCAGACCTACCTCTGTAGCCTCCACCTCCTCCACCAGAAGAACAAGCTCCTCCTCCTCCACCAAAGCCACCAGAGGTGGCCCACTGGAGCTTGGTTAGTGCTTGCGGACAAGCTTGACCCCCTTCTCCACCTTCCAGAAGGGACTTCCCAGCCTGAGGAAGCAGAGTCTCATCTTGCCAGCCACCACCTCCACCTTCACAATCAGAAAGTGAGAGAACAAAACAACAATAGGTGAGGGAAGCACAGGAAGAGCAAAGTAGGAGAGATACTGAAGAGAGTCAAAGATTGGCCCTTATCAATTTCTTAAGGGCCTGCATTCCAGTTGACTCCTTTAAGGATAAAAGAACATACAGATAAGGTCCTTGTTGCCATGGATAATAACAGTGGGAACCTAATGCACAGTCTGGTACGTGCTGCATAACCAGCACCTCAGCACCAATTTCTAGTGGCATTAGAGACACAAGGAGCTGACCACTGTCCTTTGGGATAACTTGTTGGGGCTTTCAGCCATGTGAGATGCTGAACACCGCAGAGAAATAAAAAAATATACTGGATTTCCTCATCTCCCTCTAGTGGCCCCTTTATAAGGCTATTACAGCAGGAGATGGAGAACCACTGGACTTTGTAATCTCTTAGGAACAGATTCTAGGCACAGCTGTTATAAGATTATAAATAAGCTTCCATTTCTTGTATAATTCTCACAATATAGTTCTTGTTGTTAGGGTTTCAGCAGAGTAACAAGGAAAAAGTCTTCTCTTCAAAGGCCATTGCTACAGTGTGGAAAACTGGGCTCCATCCCCCAGATACCATTTTCACTGAGTCATTTCAAAGACGAGAGGAGCCCTCCTGTGGAATAGTTTCTACTGGAGCACTCATCACCCATCCTGTGCATTCTCTTTCTATCTGGTTACACACCATATAAGAAGACATCCTTTATAGACTAGCTACTGTCACAGAAAAACTTTGGAAGACCAAAGAGAAGCCCCTCATTTAATGCTTACAGGACAGGAAAACTTGTGTATTCAGCCGTCTGATTCAGACCCTGTGTGGTTTTAGTGTCTCACCTGCTGCCCCAGTTCTCCCACTGACTCCAGGCACTGCAGTGCTGTTCTCAAATTGTTCCAGGGGTAGGTCATCCAGGGAGCTGTCCTGAGCCTTCAGGTAGGCTTTTCCTCCTCCTCCTGCTGCGATGAGCAAAGGTTCGAAAATCCCATCCTTCTGCTGGAAAACCCCCCATCAAACATCAGAAAAACTTCACAACCCTTGGATATGTGAACTCACATAAACTCATCAAAAAGCATGAAAGCATCCCAAAGAAGACTGGCCTGAGGCCGAGCAATGCTACTGATTGTTTCCTAACTGCACTACAAAAAAGTTTTACCATGTTTCTGTGTACAAAAATAACTGTTTAACCAAACACTGGGGGGTTTTGACTTTTTTTTTTTTGGTAGGACTGTTGCCAGTATTAATGTGTGATCCTGGTGTGATTCCCTGAGCTGTCGAGAACTGAGGAACCAGTTCAGCTAGCTTAATGACAATAACAAGTATAATCAAGGATATGAAATGAGATAAAGAATCTAAATTTTAAAAAGGCAAAAAGACAGACAGAAGGATGGGGGCAGGGGAGAGAGAGCGCATGAAAAAGAGAGCGAAAGAGCAGAAGAGAGACACAGATATTCCTTTCCCATCACCTTTTTTTAAGAACCGAGTATCATATGCCATGACTGACAGTGCAAGCTAGTTGCTCTGCTGGACACTGCTCAGAAAGGATGCAAAAAAGGAAATACTTACTCTAAAGATGTAGGTTGCTCCTCCCCCACCCCCACCTCCTCCAGCCCAGTCCTTCAGGTCCCGTTTTTTTTTGTAATCTTCTTCAATGAGAGATGACTCCCCTAAGCAGATCTTCTGGGTTTCAGGATTGCCCTGAAAGGAGACAAGAGACGCACTCATATATCAGCAAAGCCCAACTCTTGAGAGCTGTCTGTATATCTCAGTATAATATTGTTTGTGAAGTACACCAGGCATATATAAATCAGTACATGTATTTTTGTGGAAAGCAAACTCTTCTACAAGGTCCAGCAGCTGAGAGATTGATCTGTCTGTTACCTCTGATTTGCAAATTCACATTACACATGCAAGTGAAAATACAAATGCTCACAGAAAAAGAAAAAAGCAATACAGCAATAACTCATCATTGTATTACATAATTAATATTTTGCATAGATAGAACTTATATCCAAGAACATTAAGATGTGTTTGAATTGTGGATTAATTCTCAGAACTTCCTTACTGCAGTATTTATTAGGTGTTTCTCAAAGTTGTCATAACACACAAAGCAGACAGCGCTCATCTGCACATACTTAGGAGTGAATCACTGATACGTCTTGGAACAGAAATCTGGGGTCCCAGCTTCCTATTCCAGCTAAATACTAGAGGACACTGAAAAGGCTGAGAAAGTAAAGATTGTTTGGCCATCATAAATCTTTGTGTGTGTGTGACACCGGATTCCAGGAGTTCTAATGACTTTGTAAATCTGCCCAGCTTCATGACGGATGGTGAAGTCCCAATGATTTCAGAAACTGCTATGTTGTCTCAGTGCAGGTGAACTCCCTACTTGTGTTTTGCTGCCTGTGTCCTCTTATTCAAAGACGAGGACAAAAGACGACAAGGTAGCTGAGGACCAGGGAAAAGCAACCAGGTTACATCTACAGAGAGAGAATGAAACTTGGAGCTGAAGAACTTCTTCAGAGAAAGGAAAACAAACACATTAGTTACCCAACATACAGATTCAGCA